TAATCTGATCTCGGACTGGAGAAAAGCATAGCCATTAAAAAAAGTAAAAAACACAACAAACTCTTCACACTTTTATAATACTAGTAGATAGATAAATTAGGTAAGAAATTATGAGAAATAAATTACTTTTATTTTGAAACTTTGATTTCTCATTTACAAGTGATGAGATTTAATGAAAATAACCTGATTTTATTTATATATATATATATATATATTAGAACATGAGAAACAATATATTAATAAAACAACAAGAGTATATAAATAAGACCCCAAAGGGTCATTCCAACCAAACAACAAAAACAAAATCTGTTATCCTTGGTAAATTATTTTTCCATCTTGTGATTGCGTTATTAAATATGAAAGTTGGTGAATCTACTAATAATTAATGTATAGACCCTGAATATTAGAAGAAAATCTGTTATCCTTGGTAAATTATTTGTCCATCTTAGAAAATTAAACTCTTTCTATGTAATGCCCTAAAAAATAAACCCATAAAATCATACATTCATGATAAAGGAAAGAGATTTCATATTACAATCATCAGAGTAATCTTACAAAAGTTTTACATGTTGACAACAAAAGTAAATGCCCTAAAGGCATACAAACTTTCCAAGTCAACACTTGGTTACAAAAAGAGAGTACTAACTCTATACAAGATAAGCCCTTGGCTTGATATACATGTAATACAACCAAAAACAACAAAAAGAAGTCTAACAGCCTCAAGCCTCCCAAGCTACATCCTTGGAGGTGGTATAATATCTGTACCTGAAAATGATGTCCCAAAGAGGGTGAGCCAACGCCCAGTAGAGATATGCTAAACATAATATGAGCAATAACTAAAACACGAACATTTGATAAATGTCTAACTCACATAAATCAATCCATAATTCATTTTCATTACATAACAAATATGTCCATGTTCCATTCCATCTTTCCATTACTTATCCAGTTCTCAATTTTGATTAAGGCTCAGAACCTGGCCAATAATTTAATGAGACTATAGCTCATATTAACAATACTTCCATACTTCACAATAGATACACATATTTGTTGTATCAACATTACATAAAATACTTCCATACTTCACAATAGATACACATATTCGCTGTATCAATACTTCAATAGATACACATATTTGTTGTATCAATGGAGTACATCCCCTATCTCCTCCCAAACAATATCCAGTTTAGGAGTCCATCTCCTATCTTCCCCTAAACCGTGGTGTACATCCCCTATCTCCTCCCACATAACACAATGTATATAAGCATAAATCATATACATAAGCACTTAATACATAAATTTGATGTATTATTCCAACCGTCATATTCAATGGCATATTCAATTGATTAGTTTTCATTCGTCTAATCATTATGCAATGTGTACAACAATCACGACTATCCTCTACCGATAGCCCACAACTCCACCATTCTATATCATAATGAGCCAATTACATTATTTCCAACTCAATTTCATATTTTCATAATAAAAGTCATTAATTACACTAATGACCCAAAAATACCCAAACATGGCATTTTTTCCCTTTTTCTCAATATTGACCCAAAGGTCCAAATATTATCAACAACATCAATAACCACCTTTTTAGACCCAAAACACAAATGTTTGAATCAAAAGAACAAAACCCCTCTTTCCAATATAACACATCTCAAACCCTAACTTCCCAAATCAAACCATTTATACAAAAAGCTCAACATCTAGGTTAAAGATCATAAAGATGAGTAAGAATCCCTACCTCAAATGATGAGACCAAATAGAGAAGTTGAAGAAAACTCAAAGTGCTCCAAACCAAGAAACTTTCGGATTGATAGATAGCCCAAGCCAAGCTTTACACTTTTTACAAAAGGACAAGCCTAGAAACACACTAGAACTAGATCAAACCTAAGAGAGAATATGAGATGTAGTGAGAGAAGCTCTCAAAAATCAGTTTTGAAAAGTAAGAGAGAGAGTGAGAGTTGAAAAAGTGATCTAAAATGACCCAGCTGCCAACTGATATACATATGACCCGCTCGAGCGGATAATAGGACACTCGACCGTCAAACACAAAAACTGGACCCGCTAGAGCGCAAAAAGACACGCTCGAGCGCCAAGACACAAAAACAAAATACACCCGCTCGAGTGCAAAGAGGAACCTGCTCGAGCGTAGATTACACTCATCCAGTACTTTTACAGACAATGAACACCCGATCGAGTGCAAAGAGGCCCGCTCAAGCGTGACTCGCTCGAGCGTAAGAAAATCCGCTCAAGCGTGAAAAACGCACCTGCAGTAGTTTTGCAGAGGCACAAAATGTTGAAAGTGTGTAAACTCTGCTCGAGCGCTTTGAATGAATAAATGAGAATTTTCTAAATGCTTGTCCAGGTCCTGCGTTGTTAACACCACCCCAAATTCCTTGCATTTTGAATTTTCTAATGCCATAAAAGTTTTTTATTGTACTTCAAAATTGAGCAAAACCCACATAAAAACAAAAGCATATTAATCATAAAGACAAAAGTGTAATTGAACCCATTAATCTCCAATCATAGAATGTTATAGAAGGCTTTATTATACTTGACAATTCTTAAAAATGATAAGGGTATTGCAAAATTCATTATGAAACCAAATAGGAATCCACAATCACAATACCCAAATGAACTGAACACAACATGTCAAATTTTTAATTTAATCGCAAAAACAGCTTGGCAAAAACCTTTTTATTGTACTTCAAAATTGAGCAAAACCCACACAGCAATGGAAAATTCATTAGAAAGCCAATGGTGCAATTCAAGTGAGGATTTAATGTAGATCGAACTTTTGATTCACTTGTGAGATCCAGGTAGTTGGGGGGAAGAGGTGTGGGGCTTAAAAGTGGAGAAAAGCTGCAGAAATTCCTAAATCACAAAATTTAGCTATTGATTCTTTCTCCACACAAAATCCAAAAGTTTTACTACATAAGAAATCCATAAAAATTTACAAATAAAATCTACAAGTTTTAGAGAATACACATCACTATTTTGTGCCGCTAAACTCCACCCTCTAGCAATGGAGCTCAACTTAACTTCATTAAAAGATCAAACCAAAGCATCTGATAGCACATATAATGAACAACTACGAGATCTGTATAAGCAAAATTTAAGAAAAGCATCATGAAATTGAAGATAAATAGAACATAAGGTAAATTACACTAACCTCCTTAATAGTTTGGGAAAAAAAATATAATAAACCTTACAGTTCTGATATACATCCTTTTTAGTAAGGTCAAAGAAATTAAACTTAGTGCACATGGTAAGAAAACGCAAAGATAAATAACATACAATACCCACCAAAACAGGAGGTTCATATTGAAGCAACCAAAACTAATTGTTTCAAACATCTTTATCAAACCTAGCAAAATTTTGATTAGTCAACTCTATGTACTCGGAAGGATGAAAAGTACTTAAAAGGTAAAAATTTTTATTCAATAAAATGTATGTTACTTTTAATAGAGTACCTTAGAGAAACCAAAACTCATTTCCCATGAGCATGACATTCTCTTGATCTAGGTTTTGTGGTGCACAATTGTTCAATCCAGACAAATTGAGAATCAGAGCAAAGACATAATAAATCAAATAAATATTCACTGCAAATATCAGAGAAGCACACAGAAGCAGTTGCACACTTTTTCCAATTCGAACTGAGCTTGTTCATTACAAATACAATAAAACAAAGACTCCTTCAATCTACATTATCAAACAAAGCAGCAGGTTTAGACAAATTAAGTATAATGAAGAAAAGAGGCATAACATAAACAAACATTAGACTCTCTCTCTGTCTTACGGCTTCACAAAGTCAATCAATTGACTTTGAAAAAAGGGGGAAAAATAAATGAAAAAAAGAGGATACACCTTAAAAACCGCATCCATGCCTTTGTCATGTAATATAATATTAGAATAAGTATTTTTTTTTGTTTTTGTTTTTATAGTGGACCATATATATATCATCAGTTTATGTAACATAAAAATGTGGGTGTATAAGAAGTGTGTGCTTGTAGCTTGCTTCTGCACAATATGTAGTGTCCTCACTTCAACAGTTAGAAAAGTCCAAAGGAAATCCTCCTGAGTCACACAATAACAACCAAGTTAGTGATATTTCAAAAAAATAAAGATTGAAGTAAGTCTAAAATATGATGTGTATAATTAATTATCCAGTCCATTTATAAATGAAATACCCACCAAAACTTACGTGATCCTAAATTGTCAAAAATCACAAATTCACTTGTGTCTGCGGATTAGTTGATCAATAATCACAAATTCATTTGTTTTTTTAGATTAATTGATCAGTAGCACTACAGACAATGTCAACAGTGCCAACATTATTTTGGATTAATTGCATTGTTAACTTTGTTTTGTAGTTAATTGTAGTCCAATAATTAAGTTGTAAACTGGATTACTTTATTGCTTGGTTGGTTCTAGCCATATAGGCCTTGTTTAGTTGTCCATATTGGATTTGGATATAATGAAATACAATATGTTTAGGATATGAGATGAATTATGTATATTGTAAAATTATTTTTATTATATCCAAATTCTTTAGATCGGTGGTTTGGTCTAAAATTATGAGATGTTGGGCGGTTTAATGGGTTATAGTTGGGACTGTTAATGGGCGGTTACATTGGTTTACTGGTTTTGATAAAAACTTGAATGAATGTGCTTAGAACATAGGAATGAATGTGTATTTCAAAGTGTATTACCAAACATAAGAATGAATTGTTTATCTTTTCCTTTTTTCTTTCTTCTTTTTTCTTTTTTCTTTCGAATTGTTTATCAAAGAAATATTCTTTGATAAACTTGTTGCCTTTGAATTGTATTCATATTCATTAAAATGTGTTGGTTGAAAACACATAATGTTCAAAACTAATGTGAATGTTGTCTATTTAAATTTGTTATATTTTTAACTATTTTTTCAAAATATTCATATTTGCCTCTTTTGTTTATTTTTTTATCTTGCTTCCAGCAATCATATATTAAATATGAAAGGTCGTTCATGGCCTCTTACTGGAGGCAATAGCAAACAAAAGGTTGCATTTTCTCCATCAACTAATCAATCAAGAACTCGTGTTGCCCTTAATCCCGATTGTTCTGAGATTTCCAAGCCATCCATATCAAGTGAACCTATCAATGAATTTGTTCAGTTAAAACAAGAAATCGAGGAATTCTTTCGACGGTTTAAGAGGGAGGAGATCTATTATAACAAGGCATCAACTGGAACTCTGCCGGCTCTACTCACCGAATACCCAAAGCTAGAGCTACTTATTGAATATGAAAAAAAGATCTCAAAAGATATTGCTAAAAAAAAAGAAGAATTTATAAAGAGATATAATGGTTCTGAATTTGAGTTGCGTTATGATGAAAGTAGTGCCTCATCTTAGTTTTGTCTTAGATTTTTGTATTATGTAGTTCTTTATATATAGATATATATTTCATGTTGTTCAGTGTGCTTGTTATAAAGATCCAAACATAATTTTCAAATATTTTAAGCAGTTATAGTTGTTAGCTTTTGTATTTATGCACATGTAAAAAGTTGTACTACTTTTTTGTATGCATTCTTTATTTTTCTTCTATCTGTATTTATGTTTTTTTCTTCTTCTAATATTCTCCTACTTCAATTGCATTTAAACTTTCTCAAGTACAGTGTTACCTTTTATTAAGGTGCTCATACCCTGTGCTAAGTTTAGTGCATATAAATTTTCCTTCTAGATTTAATGTGCTTAATTTGTTTTTTCTTAGATTAACATATTATTAAAAGGGATATTTACCAATAAATCCTATCTTACAAACAGTTTTACTGATTGGTTCTAAGGTTATTTCTATTGTTCTGATTAGTCCTATTAGTGGGGAAATATTCTACCAGTTGATCCTATTTCCTTTGTTTAGTAACACTGAGTAGTCAATTATACCCTTTCGTGTGTGTGTCGCGTGACATACATCATTCCAAGGCAAAAAGCATAAAGAGCCTTAGTGTACTTTGCTGATGTGTGGCACCCATTGTGTGTGTCACGTGACACACCAAGGCAAAAAGCATAAAGAGCCTTAGTGTACTTTGTTAATGTGTGGCACCCATTGTGTGTGCCACGTGACATATTGTGTGTCACGTGACACACCCTCATAAAGAGCATGCATCTAATAACATCTAAATAAGGGCATTAAGGTCCCTCAAAATATCCAAGGACTAAACGGTTTATTAGAAAAAAATTGGGACCAATTGGTTCATAAGTTTAACATTTGGGATTTATTGGTAAATCTCCCTTATTAAAATTCCTATTGATTTGCATGTGATATTGTCTCATTTTGGCTATGCTATGTTTTTTTTCGAAGGTTTGAGCAATGAATTATTGCTATACCATCGTTAATTTGTACCAAATATATAATATTTATAAAATGAGAGTATACATTAAATTATGAGAGTATACATTAAATTAAACCTTGCTATTTGACTGTTTTAGTTTTAAAAATATAAAATATCCAACAGCAAATAAATAAGATAAATTTTAATCAAATATATACCCCCAAAAAAACAATTAATTAAATTTATGCATTAAATTAAATGTTAATACTTATATTAACAAAATGCACAACCAAATTATTATTTTTAATTGTTGTTTATATATACATTACAATTTGTATAAACCACAATATTTATCTTTATATATTAAATAAAAATATAGTATTTATCATGTTGCATTGTCCATTTGGTGTTCAATCAATAAATGGACATTAATTATTAATTTTTTTACTGTGTCAAATCCTTTCCATGGTAGCCAAAGGTGAAATCCAGCAATTTGACTGCTGGGTTTTCCATTAAATGTGTCAAATCAATTTATGAATTGATCATCTCCACTTAAAATGTTTGACTCTCTCAAATTATTATTTGATTTTTTTTACCATTATATTTTTAGACAAATTTCATACTTATCCAGACCTTTCATTATTTTACCCCTTTATTTATTTTCATAGAAGGACAATCTTCATAATTTTGTGATACAAGTGAAATATACTCCTCTTATTACTAATTTTTGCATTAAAATAAATGTCAAATCAATTCACAAATTAATCATCTTCACTTACGGAATTTTATTTCCACACCATACAAATTTTGAATAAACATCATAAATGGTATTTAAATATAAATTTCTGAATAAAATTATATTCAGCATTGAATTGTAAGTTCTCATTTATATTTATTACTCTTTAATTTTTAACTGTTTACAGCATCTTCAATTCTTCACCAAACCCCAAAATTTGATGAATTTTTTTGTGAAAATGAGGTCAAATCCTTTAATCAAACTTGTATAAAATCAACAGAGAAATAAAATTTTCACCAAATCAAGGAAACTATACCAGCATATACTTTTTTATTCAATGATTTATTCATTTATTGTAGCATTTAATCCTAATTTTCAAAGTAAAACTATTTTTTTAAAATTACTTCATATAAAATAAAAACACATATTAAACTTCTGTAAATTTCTCTTACAAATCCTTAAAATAAAATGTTACTTTTTTTTTTCCATAACTGTTGTTTGCTAAAATATGATTTTTGCTTTTCTTTAAAATTGAAAATTTCATTTTTACAGTATTATTAATAATTATAAAGGACAATTAAAAAAAATATCCACTATTTGAGCATTAGTATAGAAATAAATTTCTTTAATTTAAATATCAATCTTTTGATTTCTGTCCAATCCAAACCATTTGGCTATTTTCAATTTCTAAACTACCTTTCTTTTTCTATCTGCAGTAGTCACAATTCCACACTCTTCTACCAAGTTAACTGAGCTTTGCCAGGTTCTCTTTGCTTTAACTGTTTAGCTACAATTAAAAATTTGTTCGTTTCATAATTTTTTTGCATGTTATATTCCAAATAATTATCATTCTTTAATTTATTTATCTTTAGAATATTATGATATAAATGTGTCAATTAGTACCATTTAATGTTTTTCCACATAAATAGTATTGTTAAACATAAGACATAGCTCAATACAATCCATTCATTCTACTAATACAAAAATAAACTTCTTTTATGTAGTTTTAGTATGTAGTTGTGCAACGCAAAAATGCGAAAACGAAGATTATGTGTCGATCAGGAAGATGCCGATCAATCTTTGGTTAAAAGTACAAAACAACTTACTTTAAAACTTTTAACTTCTGTTCAAACATTTGTTCTACACATATTTACCCATAACTTATATAAAAGAAAAGAACATTAAAATACTAACTTTTTACATATATACTTTATTCCTCTACTTACAGAAAAACAAAGACTTGAAAAAAATAGGAGATTGCGAGAGGCATATGCCAAAAAGAAACAATATCTACTTTCGCAAGCTGAAAACTCTATTGGTATTAATTTTTCCTTTAAATCAACATTAGATTTAAATCAAGATTAGTTATCTTACTACTAATCTTAGCTTAAAAATATCATCTCTTGTAAATCTAACATATTTGCCATATGAATTATTGGTACATTCCATAGACTTCCGTGAAGATAAAAAAAGGAAACGCACATCGTCAACAAAAAATAGAGATTTATTGATTCAAGGGAGCAACTCAAATCAGCAACAATTGCATATAGGTAACTGATAACAAAAAATATTGAACATGATTACATAATAACAGAGTAATTTTAAAATCATATGATAAACATTTCATTTAGTTTCTTTCTTTTTCTTCTTATTTTTATTAGGAGATCATGTTTCAACTGTTCAAACTGGCTTTGTTACATGTCATGACAACAGAGGGAAATCCCACATAAGTTATTTCGGTATTTATGAAAAAGGTTTGAATCTTATTCTTTTTATATAAATCATCTAATAGAATTATAGCAACAAATCTAACATTAACACATTAATTTTCATAGGTTCCACTTCCGGAACAAATCATCGCTCAAAACCTGATGCAGGTTGATTCTAAATTTAAATTCTTTACAAATTAATTTCTTTGCTTAACTTTCTAAATAACAAAATTATATCTTCCACTTCATAGAAAATTGTAGTTCGCGAATATGGAAGGCTTCTAACAAAAAAACAGACGGCATTCCAACTCAACCTGCTATCTTACCACTACAAGGACCTTGCAACTTTTGTGGTGCGAAAAAGTTTTACCTTGAGCCTAATAGCTTTTGTTGTATGGGTGGACAAGTCTCTTTGGTTTCCAGTAACTGTCCTCCAGAACTTGATTGGTTATATACTTCTAACTCTGAGGAAGCAAAAGAATTTCGTACGTATGTTCGAACATATAACAATTGCTTTGCTTTCACATCTTTTGGAGTCAAATATGACAAGGAATTGTGTCGGAGAAATAAAGGAATCTATACATTCAGGATACAAGGTCAAGTTTATCACTTCATTAATGAGCTTACATCTTCTGATGAAAATCTTAGTCATCTACAGCTCTACTTTTATGACATTGATCATGAAATCCAAAACAGAATGAAATCTTCCGAAAAGCTAAATCCTGTTATTCTTGAAAGGCTCATAAAGATTTCACATCTGAATCCATATTCAATCTTCTTCAGGAGATTAGAACACAAAGATCCTTTGAACTCTGTACAAATTATTATTAGATCTGATGCATCATTAGATCAGAGAGTCTACAATCAACCTTCAACCTCACAAGTGGCAGCAATTTGGTCTGAAAATGATGTCTTAACCAAAGAAATCTCAAGAGATATTGTTGTTCATCAAATTTCTGGTCATAGTGAAAAAGTTCAATGGTATTTTGGATGTTATGACCCATTACAATATCCATTGTTATTTCCATATGGTGAATCTGGATGGCATTATGGTATTGAGAGAGTTGACAAAAATCAAACAAAAATCACATACCATCAACAATCTATTCTGTGTTCATCAAGCTACTATTGCTTTAGACCTTCTCATAAAAAAAGTCCAAGGTAAATAGATCCTCTCCTTATCAATTAAATAGCATTCAAAAATTTTTACTCCTAACTAAAAAAATTTATTTCAGTGTTTCAGAAACAAAAGAATAAGAAAACTACCATTTCTTGTCGTGAATACTACTGCTACAAGCTTCAAATACGACCCAATGATTCTTCAATCTTACTCCGCTCTGGTCGTCTCTTTCAGCAGTATTGTGTTGATATGTATGTCAAGATTGAAACATCTAGACTTCAATTCTTTCGAAACAAACAAAGAGAAATTAGGGCTGATTTGTATCAAGGAATCATAGACAGTGTCACAACGGGTGAAGGTAGAGGTTCAAAGATTGGTCACAGGGTTATACTACCACCGTCATTCATAGGTAGTCCAAGAGATCTTAGACGTCGATATGTTGATGCAATGATTTTCTCTCAATAAATGCAAATTATACAGATAGCATTTTTAAGCAAGAGACTATCTTATTTACGATTGACCCATATAAACACTAGCTTTATGGTCAGTCAGTAAAGAGATGAGACATAAGCAAAAGAGTGGACTCTATGATTTCTTCTTTTTCTTCTTCTTCCCTTAATCCCACTGTCCCACTATCCACTACGTTGGGATTGATCTCTCATATTAGTCAGTCAATACGGCTGAATACCAATCCAAATATATATATATATATATATGTATTTTTGAGATCATATTAGTCAGTCATTACGGCCGGATACCAATCAAAAAATATTGTGGGGATATATTTTTTGAGTCCCAACACGTGGCCAAGGTGACGTCACATGTCAACCGAGGTGCTACGTGTCCAGGTTATGACGCCGAGGTTATCTCCGAAGATATCGGAATCCAAGATAAGCGGATAGGGGACAAGAGTCCTAGAATGACGAAGGACTATGACATGAATGAGGATAAAGCTCTTAGGGAGTTTATCTTTATCTCTTAGGGAGTCCAAGATAAGCACTGAGCAAGAGTCTATTGAAGCTTGGCTTCTAGTAGGACAAGGATTGAGTTTGTTATAAAAGAGAGGCACCCCCACGGGTCTAAGGTACGCAAGTTATATTCTGAATAGTGAGTTTAGCATTATTGATTATCTTTAAGAGATATATTGACTTGATCGTCCGAGTGCCCCCGGGTAGACGAACCACCGCCGGAATCTTCTCTTTCTGTTGCAGGTTAGCCAGATGTCATCTATTCTGCCAATGCTCTCCAGCTGATTACTGAGTTAGGCAGTGTGATCGGAAAATCACTCACACAATTTGGCGCCGTCTGTGGGAAAGAAAGAAGAATAGATGGCCAGTGACGGACATAAGGAAAAGATTGGAGACGACACTCCTACTGGGAGTGGCAGACCTATCGACCTTGACGTCGAAGGAGGCAACCGCAACACAGAAACTCGTAACCAGAATCACAGCAAGAAAGACGTCGGCCAGGATAACGACGTACCAAAGCAGCCAGATCGAAGTGGGTACTACCATGAGGATGACCTCCAGGTATGGAAGAACAGATGCCTGCGGAGGGACGAAGAGGTAAAAGAGATGGCAAATAAATTGGCAGACCTGCAATTGGTCGTCAATTTTATGATGCAAAACAATGTCATGCAGCCACCATACCCACTGCAGGACATGCCAATTCTAGCGGCCAATACCTAGAAGGGAGGGCAGAAGACAGTCCCAATAGCCCCTCAGCACACCAGAAGCGAAAAACACTCTCACCAGCCTTCTAGGGAGGTTGGGAGAGGAGAGTCGAGGAGAGAAGAGTCGCAAAGGACGCACCGCGCCAAGGAGGCAGACCCCAAAGAACATCGGCATGTTCAGAAATAGGCACTCTGCTTCGACACAACCCACGGAGAAAGATTGAAGAGGACCCACCATGAAGCTGAGAGTAGTATGCCGAAAAGACTGAAGTCAGGAGATAGCCGAGCTCCTGGACGGAGCAAAGAAGACTTGAAAGATTACCTTAAGAGGAAGCAGCAGAATGTCGATGTCGAGGTAACTTCCCCTGAAAAGTCGAGAACACCGTTCTCAGTGGAGTTAGACAAATTTGACGCGCCAAGGAGATTCAGTATGCCGAGGTTCCAAATATACGATGATAAGTCAAACCCCAACTTCCACGTTGGATTATACTTGAACTCAATGGCATTATATAGTGGGAACGAGCCGTTGCTCTGCAAAGTGTTCCCCTCATCATTCGGGAAGATTACATCAGATTGGTTTCATAAACTACCGAAGGGAAGTGTGAAGACCTAGGAAGGCCTGACCGAGATGTTTGTGGCCAGGTTCGTAACAAACAAGTTGCAGCCATTAAGAGTGGATGCATTGATGGCTCTGAAGATCAGTAAGGATGAAGGCCTTATGGCCTATGCAAAACGATACTACGAGGTGTTCAACCGAATACCAGAATGTAATCAAGAGGTGGCAGTCGTATCTTTCAAGAACGGCCTCAAAGATAACTGTCCACTACGAAAATCTTTGGCAAAGACATTGCCAAAAAGCATGGAAGAGCTCATGGCGAGGATCGAGAAGTACACCAGAGCCGAAGAAGATACATCGGGGACCAAGGAGGTAAAGCAAGAAAAGGGAAACGGCTCGCCGAAGCGAGGCTGAGGTAACAACGGATCCAGTAAACAGGAGATAGAACTAAGGGCAACACAGGCAGTGACAACCGTGTTCCGAATCCCAATTCACAAAGTCCTAGATCAAATTAGGAATCAACCCTATTTCAGAACACCTACAAAAACACCAGGAGAATTCATGGGAAGAAACCTTGGCAGGCATTGTGCTTACCACAATGAAAACGGGCATATGACTCAGGGTTGTAGAGCCCTGAAAACACACTTGGAAGACCTGGTGAGGCAAGGCCATCTGAGAGACCTTGTTGATGAGGCCAAAACAAGGGAAGAACAGGCAAGATTGCCTTAGGCGACAGCAGCTCCACCTCCTCCAGCATAGCAACCACAAGCAGGAGGACCTCGGGTAATTAATTTAATTCACTCGAAGGTCAACGAAAACGAGATTCGAGGGGAGACCCAGAAGGTAAAACATCTGCAGCATGTCTACCAAGTCGGGGAGAAGAGACATCGGGCAGAGGAGTGCCAAGGGCCAGTAGTGTCCTTTTCCGAAGCCGACCTTGAAATGGTGCAGCACCCGCATAATGATGCCTTGCTAGTATCCCTCCAGGTTGGGGAATGCCAAGTAAAACGCATCTTGATTGACCAAGGCAGCTCTTGTGACATCATGTATGTCCGATGTTACAAGGAGCTCGGCCTTCACCCAGACGACATGGAGCAATCCAATAGCCCAATGGTCGAGTTCAATGGAATGCTGACATGGCCACTGGCAACAACTAGCTTGGAGGTGCAGGCAGGCACCAGGAAGATAACAACAGAATTCACCGTGATTGACACACCCTCCCCTTACAACATCATTTTGGGAAGGCCATGGTTGCATGCAATGAGGGTTGTTCCCTCAACTTTGCATTAACTATTGTGGTTCCCAACGGAGTATGGGATTGAGGAGGTCAGAGGAGATCAACTGCAGGTAAAGAATTTCTCCATGGCAGCAATGAAATCCACCTACAGCATTCAAAAACCAGAGAAGACAGAGATTGAAGACGAGGACGTGGAGGTCCTAGAGGATGTCGGCAAGGAGCCAGCCGAAAAAATTGAAGAAACACTGAAGAAAATTCTCATCCAAGAGGGGGATAAGGAACGCTTCTTTTTCTCGACTCGAGCCTAGCCGAAGAAGAAGAAAGATAAATAGAAGCTTTCTTGAGAGAAAATATTGAGGTGTTCGCGTGGACGCCCTACAAAATGCCTGGCATTGACCCTGAGGTCACTTGCCATAAGCTGAACGTTGACAGGTCAGCCAAACCGGTAGTCCAACGAGCAAGAAGACCGACATTGATACACGTCGAAGTAATGGAAGAGGAAGTAAACAAACTTCTTGAGGCCAGGGCCATTCGAGAAATAGATTACCCAACATGGCTATCAAACACAGTGGTGGTGAAAAAAAAGAACGGTAAATGGATGGTCTACGTAGACTTTACTAACCTGAACAGAGCCTATCCCAAAGACAGCTTCCCTCTACCCAAGATTGACCAGCTATTAGACGCCACTTCGGGGCATAGAACGATGAGCTTCCTGGATGCATATAGGGGGTACCATCAAATAGCCATGTACCCCCCCAGATGAAGAGAAGACTACGTTTATCACTTCCTAAGGGCTGTACTGCTACAGAGTGATGCCTTTCAGGTTGAAAAACGCAGGAGCAACTTACCAAAGGCTGGTAACCAAGATGTTCAAACACCTGTTGGCAGAACGGTAGAAGTTTACATCGATGACATGGTCGTGAAGACCAAAGAACCTGAAGGTCATCTGGCCGACCTGAAAGCAGTCTTTGACATCTTTAAAACATATCAGCTCCGACTCAATGCGGCGAAGTGTGCATTTGGAGTAAGATCTGGTAAGTTTTTAGGATGCCTGGTGACTAGAAGAGGCATTGAGGCCAGCCCAGATTAGATTAAGGCCATCCTGGAATTGAAGAGCCCAACATCGGCAAAACAGGTACAAATGTTGATTGGAAGGGCTACAGCCCTGAACAGGTTCATAAGCAGAAGCTCAGACGAGTGCAAACCTTTCTTCAACTTAGTGAAAAAAGCCACAGATTTCTTATGGATAAAAGAATGCGAGGCCGCCCTGGCTGACCTGAAGGAGTATTTGACCACAGCTCCAGTTCTTTCAAATCCAGAACCTGGGGAGGAGCTGTTCCTATACTTAGCAGTTTCAGAACACGCAGTAAGCGCGATAGTAATCCAAGAAGAAGAAGGGGAGCAAAGGGCTGTTTACTATGTAAGCAAAACCCTGGCCGATGCAGAAACAAGGTACCTACCCTTAGAGAAATTGGCACTGGCTTTAGTTATGGCTTCAAAGAAGCTGAACCATTACTTCCAGGCCCATAAAATTGTGGTGCTAACTGAGCACCCCTTGAAGTCCTTACTGCAACAAGGAGACTTGACAGGGAGAATAACCAGATGGGCAGCCGCTTTGGGCCAGTATGACTTGGAGTACAGACCCAAAAAAGCAATCAAAGGCCAAGTTTTGGCTGACTTCGTGGCCGAGTTCACACCAGAATCCATCGCACATCGGGCTCCGTTGAGCCGAGATGAATGATGTCCAAGCAAGCAAGGAGAAGCCCAGCTAAATGCAACAGAACAAAGGAAAAAGGAAAAACTCAGACCCTGCAGCATTTACATCGACGACTCCTTTCAACTGTTTGTCGATGAGAGCTCAAACCAGCAAGGAGCGGGGGCAGGAGTAGTACTGGTATCTCCAGATGGAGACGTATTGGAACAGTCCATTCGATAGGGGTTCAAGGCCTCAAACAATGAAGCAGAGTATGAAGCATTGATTGTAGGACTAAAACTGGCGG